TTAAAAACGGCAAAGCGCAGTCCCCTTAACGCACACTAAATCCACAATATCTCGAATAAGGCCCTGTCCCAAATGGCACACTAAACCCTCGCGGTCTTCCTCTGAGTCCGCACTTTCGTGACATAATGCCGCTTTGACTGTCGGGTAGAAGTCTGCTGCGGAGCTCGCCCCAGTGCGGGCTCAGCAGAAGTGCGGATCGAGGGCGGATAACGGCCGCAAAGGGGGCGCTCGCGAGCACCCTTCTGAATGCTAAAATGACGAATGGGACACCCTATGGTCTCGTGGACTTAACGGACACGCGGTGGCCATTGTAAGTCCGTAAGACCGCAAGTGCACATGAAGTGTTCCATTTGGGACAGGGCCTAATGCTCCAAAGTGGTATTCGAGGCTTAGTGTATCCCATCATGCATCATGTTGTGGAAATAAATCGTGAGACTTTTTGCCAAGATCTCACGAGAGGTCACAGAAACCTTTCCAATACATGTTAAATATTAATAATAGTTAGATATTACATATACTTTGGTAGTAAAACAAAGAGTTGCACGTTTTATTGGTGCAAATGAGTAGTGGCGATAATTATTTTGTACAACATTTGCAACTGCTTTTTATCACTTAGAAGCACCACAAAATTGTGTCATCTGTTATAGGGACTACTGAACAGACATTTAGAAGTTGATTTTAAAATGCAAAGTATTGAAAATAAAAATAAAGCTCTGTAAACACTTGCATTTTTACAACATTATAAGTGTGACCCATCAGGTAATGAAAAGATCTACACACACTTGTGGTCTTTATGCTCACTTGAACACTTGGACCAAATACAGGAAATACGTCATATAATTAGTCCGCATATAAAGTGCAAAGACCGCAAGTATTTGGACAAGGGGTAAGTGTGCCATTTGGGACAGGGCCAGTGGCGTTCCAGTCAAAGCGTAAGCTCCGGTGAGAAGTGACGAACGCGGAAGCGCAGAGGACAGAGCAAAATAAAACACAGGTCATGAATTAGAAGTAAAAAATGAGGATTTGTAAAGAAAAATGTTTTTGGATTGCGATATAAGCCAAGAGGAGACTGGTTTTCCTTTGCTAAACAAAGGAAACTTTGCTTCCTTTGCTCCTGTAAACAAAACTTGGTTCTCGCGAGACTAATATATTCTCACCCAGGGGTGTTGCTAGGGTCAGAGAGCCCCTGAGAAAAAGAAATGGTGATCCCCTGAGATCCTCAAGATGGCGATCTGGCTATTTAAACATAAAACAAGGGCTTAAAAACAACCACAAGTAGTGCAGTTAATCACGGTTTAAAACATTAAACAAAATATGAAATATCACTATTGTAATAACACTATTATATACAAAACAGAGTATTTAAGAATAAATATAGTAATTATTCCATCATTGTATTTTACAGAAAACTGCACGGTGACCTGTTAACATGCAGGGAGCCATAACTATCAATCTTTAGAAACGTCTAAGGTTTTATTATAAAATATTAAATTATGATTAAAAAAAATCTGTGACAGTAATTTCTTAATTTTTGTCAGGAAATCTTATGCATTCATTGAGAGAGAAAAAAAACCCCTCCTGTACACTTCTCTACACTGGAGAAAAACGTATGGATATGGATGATTACTTGCAATTTCTTTAGAGAACGTGTTATTTTTCCTATTTTTTTTTACCCAAAATAGGGTGTTGTGAGCATTAGTAAGTACACACATGTAATGTAATGTCTGTTTCAGTACAGAAACATGTCAATACATACGATTGTGAAAATATATAATTTATCCGTGTTCCTCAAGCCATCTGGGGCAGTATTATAATAGAATATTTATAATGCAATGTTAATCGACTCCATCACTGTAGAATACTATAAAATAGCATGATTTCTGCCTCATCCCTGATGAAACAACGTCAGATCACAAAAGGAAGTTATTTCCAACACTCAACTGATGTTATTAAGTGAATTTGGACTAAAACATTTCATTAAATGTTCTCTTTGTTTAACAACAGATTTGTAAACCGGCTCACACACATTGCAAAACTGTATCACACGCGTGCTGCTAAATTTATTAATCGCAGAGACTGATTTTTTCGGTCTTTTGGATTGCACTGTAAGGTAAGAGGTAATCTACTACAGACAGCAGGGTAAACTGCTTTGGTTTTCTGGATTGCTAATACTTGGGAGAACAAACATGTTCCATCTTCAAAAAGATAAGGGGCTTAGGCCCCCTCGCTACTCAGCTGTTCTCACTGGAGCTTACGCTACGCCTATGTCATCCGCTGAATCGCCTCTCTCGCGTGAACGCAGGTACCAGTTAGTGGAAGCTAGAGATTATGGTTTATAAAGTTTTAAATATGGATATTTTTCGCACAAAAACGCATCGATTCGCTTCAGGAGGCCTTTATTAACCCCCACCCCCCGGAGCTGTGTGGGACACTTTTTATGATGGATGAACGCAGTTTATTGGACTATTGAATATGACCCATTCACTGCCATTATAAAGCTTGGAAGAGCCAGGACATTTTTTAAATATAACTCCGGTTGTAGTCATCTGAAAGAATAAAGTCATATACATCTAGGAGGATGGCTTGAGGGTGAGTAAATTATGGGGTAATTTTCATTTTTGAGTGAACTATCCCTTTAAACATCCAAAAGAGGAGTCCATTAGTGTCAATGCAGACACTAACATAAGAAGTGCATTGTCTGACTTAAGCGGTACGTGTCCCATCCATTTACTGGGGACCCATATTAGAGGGTATTATAATCACTGGAGGCTATTTGACTTTTAGAGGAGAATTTAAAGAAAATAAATGCATAATAATAAATGACAATAAATAATAAAAATTCTATTATTTATTTATTTACTTTCATTTTGTTCCAAGCCTATGCACCCCCCCTCAAAAAAACAAACAAACAAACAAACAGGCTTTGATTCTGAGGGTGAAATAATTTTAATTTCTGAATGAACTGTCCCTTTAAGAACATTTTTATTTTTTCTAAAAAGTACTGCTATGCTTCCAGGGGTGATGCGAATTAAAGTAAGCAGTCACCCAAGTACACCCTTCCTTCCTATCCGTTCCTCTCTTTCCAACTATCTGACAGGTTAATGCTCAAACTGAAAGAATAAAGCATGCATATGTGTCTTAAGTACATATATACCTGCCAATTTCAGAGCAGCCCTGAATCCTTTAACCCCTCAGGAAAAATCCTGCCAAATCCTACAAGCTCATAATTTAGCATGCAAACCATTAGGAAAAACACGATGGACCTGCATCAAAAGACTACTTGCACAAAGGTTGAAAAGAGTTTATAATGTACATCCAATGTTTTCTACAAAAGCAAAAGTATTGTTGCTGGCTGGTTTGAAAAATTTTAATGTTGAGCTCTGCTGCACTCTTGTGGAAGAATTTGGTGAGTAAAGGGCTGGAAAGAGAGGAATACTGAATTTACAAACACACTACACATGGTCCTATAAACAATTGGTCAGTCACACTGATTTAAAGTAAAAGGGTCAACTGAAAACGAACATACTCTTATTTATTCACCCTCGAGTCATTCTAAATTCAAGCTATGCAGTGTGTTTACCCTGCAGAAAACAAAAGGAGAAATTTTGAAAAACCATTACAAAGATTGTGCAACAAAATTGTATTCATAGTGGTCAGGTTCAGACCGGTTTTGTGAAGCTGAAAAGATCCACTTTAAAAGAATGGAACAGTTAATAAAACAAAAGGTCATGAAAATTATTCAGTTTTACCACTTAAAAAAAATTTAACAAGTTGTGAATATGAACCATTTCACAATTTCAAGCTGCAATAATGGTCTATGTAAAAAGTGTTTTCACATGGCTTTGGTGGTCAATACAGATACCTTTTCTTTTACGCTTTTATCATCCGCGCCACAAATAAGGCAAATGTGCATTTCATCTTTATCACAAAACAAGTTTAATTTAATATCTCTTTATTTTTTTAAATAATTAAACATTTGTATTTATCCGACCCTTTTTAACGTTTGTAATCGTTTGATGTCTGGGGCTTTCTAAAGCACAGGTTCAATTCTGACAAAGCTCACCACAGCATCAGTCCTCCACAATCCCCCTCTCACTCCCCCCAATCAGCAACTAAGTAAAAAAAGGAAGAAAGAACAAATTCCACTTGGTCAAAAGAAAAAAAACAAAACAATTCCAGACAAAAATTTTTTTTAAATAAACCCAAAACAAATTAGAAGTGAAACCCAAGAAAGAGAGAAAGAAAAAACACCAAGAGGCTATGTTCAATCTTTCCTCATCATATACTGGATTGTCCTAAAGAAAAATATGCTAAAGGCTCTACTAGATACAGAGTATCAAATTACTGCATTCAGATACAGTATACAGGTACTTAACACTGTAAGAAACTCCCTCACACACTCGAATGCAGAATGTGTGTGTGCACGTGCAGTTCGATTTTTCATGACAAGCATCTCCGGTTTTGCTGCTGGAATTCTGGACACCCGCTCAGATGTGTGTGTGTGTGTGTGTCCCATTTTCTGGTACCAGTACCAGACTGGTGCTAAAGAGTCCAAACGAGTGTACCGGGTTGCACATTTGGACATAAAAATAACGAAAAGAGTGGAAAAGCAAGAGCTGGTGAGTATTCATGACTTCCTCTTTTTTGATGGATACTGCATAGTGTCCTCTGCATCCCCTTAAGACGTCTACAATCCAGACCTGCTGCGTTTATCCAGATGTTAACAGATAATCAAAGGTCAAGGGTAGACGATTCTGGTTTCAGATATTCAGGACACACAGGTGGCGAATGTTGATCCAATTCAGAGACATAAAGAGGAAAAGAAAGATCGGGGAAGAGTAAGGGACATAGAGAGGGGGCAAGTGAGAAAAGAGAGAGAGATAATTGAGCTGGTGTTGTTCAGTAATGATGGCCGAGGTATGTCAGATCGGTGGGTTCAGATTCTCTGTTTGTTTGATTTTCTTTACAGCAGTCATTCATTTCAGTCCTACTGTCTGTTCAAAATCCTTCCCCCCTCCAGTGCGGGTTTCTCTTGTTTTTTTTTTGCTTATTTTAATTTTTTAATTTCCTTTTCTAGTCACGTTCTTTTTCGGCATAATATTTTTAAGGGGGGAAAAAAGAAGATAAAATAAACATATTTACAGTGCTTTTGAAATAATGAGACTGACGAGGTGAATCTACGGTAAAGTAAATCGTACAAATACAGAAAGGAAAAAAAATGTGGCCAACGTTCCAGAGCACATGGTGGTGGCGTTGGAAAAAAGCGGTCCAGGAGAGGCGCGTCGTTAAGTGGGAATAATTCCATCGCTCTGGAGGCTTCTCTTTAACTCCAGATCCTCCAACCTCTTCCACAGCTCCTCTCTCTCCTTCTCTTTTTTCTTCTCTCTGAGGAATGACAGATGGAACAAAAATGCAAATAAAGGTGAGGTATGTTTAACACTGCATGTATAAGCAGCATGAAAATGTCACAAAAGTAATGAATCCAAAGAAATAAAAATACAGCTCACCTCTGACGATCTGACTTGTAAGTGGACGTGAGTTCATCAAACAAAGTGCTGTTCATTTCCATGAAGGCCTTCAGAACATTATAGACTAAAGCTACTATGGCCCTGAAAGCGGAAAAAGAGAAAGAATTAGACCATTTAAGCATGATTGGACAGGAAATGATTAATCCAGTTAATGCTGGACAGTGAGGACAGTGTTGTGTTGTGTATATCACATACAAATATACTAAATGTTTACATGGAGGCTGTGAAAGAACACTACTGTTCAAAGGTTTGAGCACAGTAAAGTTTTTTTTTAAAGTTTTTGAAAGAAGTCTCTTATGCTCACCGAGACTGCATTTATATGATAAAAAATACAGTAAAAACATATCCTGAAATATTATTACAATTTAAAGGGGTCCTATTATGCCAGTTTTGAATTGAATTGGGACTGGCTTTTGCTACTATCAGACCCATTTAAAGATATTTGTGACACTTTGTTTAGTTCAACTGATTAATTCACCAACTAATCTAAACTAGACTAAATTAATCAAAAGGACTTGGGTAAATCAACTTTACTGGACTTCATTTTAACTATTGCATCTCATAAGTTTATTGCAGTTGGTGTCTTTTGAACTGTGAGAAATTGTAAGATTCCTAAGAGTTCATCGCGTTTTATTTATAAACGATTTTTTAAGCATTCTAACGAACATGCTTTTATGTATGATCTTTATAACAGTGAACTGGGTTTTATTTTGTGTATGCCAGACTTAACTTAGCTTGGGGTTATTTTAAAAAGATCTTTCTAACAATATGTGATACGCATGCTCCTCATAAATGTTTTAGGATGGCAAAGACAATCCTTGGTTCAGTGATGCTCTCTCTACCCTTATTAATCAGAGAAATGTTGCCTGGGCCAAGGCGAAGAAATCAAATAAATCAATAGATTGGAGTTATTATAGAGCATTACGAAATATCTGTACTAAATCAATAAAAAATGTGAAACGTGATCCGTGGTCAATGAAAATTTAAATAATCCTACAAAACTTTGGAAGCTAGTTAAATTTACCTCAGCATCAAGTTTATCAGTTAAAGTCCCAAGAATCTTTTGGTTATGATGAACATTGTCCTAGGAAAGTATTTCATTTCTCTCCCATTACAACATCTCAGGTTTACAATGCTTTAGTGAAATTAGATATTAAAAAATCAGCAGGAGTTGATAAAAATTGAACCTTATCTTTTTTTAAATAGCTGCTGGTGTTGTGGCAGAGCCAATAGCTTCGATTTTTAATTTAAGTTTAATTTCAAATACTATAATTTAAGTTTAATTTCAAATACTATACCGAAAACGTGGAAGTTGGCGACAGTTGTTTCATTACTAAAAAGTGGAGATCCTTCTGATCCTAATAATTATCGTCTTATTTCCAGATAGCCAGTTTTAGCTTAAGTATTTCAATTATTGATAAATGACCAATTAAACATTTTTAATGGATAATAATGTCCTTAATGATTACCAATCAGGTTTTAGTACCATAACTGCATCTCTGTTAGTTACAAATGACCTTATAGATAGCAAAAAGTCCTGTGCAGCATTATATATTGACTTTTCGAAAGCCTTTGATTCCGTTGGCGTTGGCATAATTTATTGCTACAGAAACTTAGGTCTATAGGTATTAGTGAAGCTGCTCTAAAATGGTTTGATGACTACCTTTCTGAACGCACCCAGTGTGTAAGTTTAGAAAATTACAATTCTCCTTTTCTCAAAGTTAAAAAAGGAGTTCCTCAAGGACCCATTTTATCTCCTATTTTGTTTACATTTTTATCAATGGCTTTGGTGTTGACTCCGCTAATATACATCTGTATGCCGATGATAGTTATTTATTGTGCAGCATCAAGCTCTACTGAATCTACAAAAGGCGTTTAATTAATGTAACATTTGTTGTTAAAATTCAAGTTGGTTTAAAAAAAAAAAAGGTACATGATTTTCAGTCATACCTATTCTAAAAACAGGTTTGGCAATTTCAACTTTAGATGGCACTGAAATTGAAATGATAAATTATAGATATTTAAGCATATGGTTAAATGAAAATCTAGCTTTTAACATCCACATTGACAACTTGCTGAAGAATCTGGCCAAAATTGGGGTTCCTTTATTGCTTCAAAAATTGCTTTCCCTATAAGGTTAGAAAAAAACTATAATTTTTTATATATTATTAATTATGGTGATCTTGTTTATATGCATGCAGCTACATCTTTGTTAAGGAAAATGGATTCTGCTTATCATACTGTATTACGTTTTATATGTGGTGCAGAACCACATATAAAAGAACCACATCACTGTATAATTTATGAATCTGTAGAATGGTCATCTTTACAACATAGGAGAAATTTACACATGTATATATTTATTGCTAAGGCACTTCATGGTAAATTACCTTCTTATATTTCAAAATGTTTAACTTTGTATTCAAACAGTTATTGTACTAGATCTCAGCTACATTTTCGAATAAAAGGTACCCTCACAATTTGGTAAACATGCTTTTTCTTTTTATGTCCCTTTGGGCATGGAATGACATGCAAAACATACTTAAACTAGAGTTCTTGCCACCTTTGACTGCTTTTAAACGTACTTTGAAATCTGTTTTAAAAGAGACTTGTTGTGCTTTTTTTTTTGTATTATTGACTGTGTTGTCTGACTATAGTTTTGTCTTTTTTTTTTTTTTTTTTAAACTTTGTGTGCTGCCATCTTAACCAGGTCTCCCTGGAATAGGGACAAGAGATAATGATATCTCAATGGGATCTTTCTGGTTAAATAAAGGATAAATAAAAAAATACTTTTTAACTTCCTTTAGCATGTAATGTTGCTGTTTGTGCATGAAAAAGATCTGCAAAAGTTACAAAGCACATGAACTCCCTCAAATGCATCGATTGCAGTCCTGAGTTTTCTTCGGGAACGTACATGTCAAAATATCCCTCATTTAAATAATTCCCGCCCAAGGCATATACAAAAAAATAAGAGGCGGCGTGGCCTGGTTGAAAACCTCAGTGTTGTTGTCATGTCCAAAAGATGCCGTTTCACACATCTAATATACTGAAACACGAATTTTTTCCCAGGCATTTACATTTACAGACATTACTGACCGTTTCTGTGAACTTTGTGTTTTTTTTTTTGACATAATAACCTTGTGTGAATTTGACAGTTTGCACAAAAGAGCCAGCTCTCTCTCCACATGCTTTATGTGTGTTGGCTCAGAAAAATAAGTATTCTTATAAAAATCTTACTTACACCAAGCATTTGAAAAGTAGTGTATAAAATGTTTAAAATTATATCTGTTAAAGTAAAAAAAAATAAAAAATCACAAAACCAATCCTTGCAAAAGTGTGTATTTAACTACTTTTGAATTTAATTATAAATTAAATGTATTAATTTTATTAAAATTAAATTGTATTAAATAATTAATTTATTAAATTTTAAGGGTCTTCCACCAAGTGACCTGAGAGAGAGAGAGAAAATTGAAGAAAAAACAAGGAATGTGATTGGGACAAGAGAAGCTCTATGAAACTATTTAAAACTATCAGAGATGGCAGTGGTGTTGTTAAATAACATAAGAAAACTATGGGTTTGACTCACGGGTTCCAGTGTTCTTTGGAGATCCGGTACAGACTTGCGAACATTATAGGAAGAATCACATTGGAGTTCTCCTCAATCAGACTCATGATGTACTCATTATTCCAGTAGTACAGCGCTCTCTCAGCCACCTGGACACACATAGACACAATTTGAGTGCTTTCTAAGCTCATAATTTGATGTATATTGATTTTGAATTGTCAATTGCTGCATGCATTTATAAGTGGTTTCCCTTAAAGCGCAAAATTGTGGTGAGAACTGTCCTGTCCTGAAATAGAGGGTTTCATGACTCATACAAACTAAAAATTGTTTATTCTGGCAGCATAACTATACTTGGGCCGGGTTTGATTCAGTCTTAGACTAGAGTGGATTTGTGCAGACCTGAAAATGAGGGCTGGAGACACATTTGGAGATCTGTTTGAAGAGAGGGTCCTGGATCTTCACAAACTGTGTGGGCTCAATCACATCCAGAATCTCCTCCAACTCACCTAGGAACATGACCTACACACACATCAATGCAGACAATCAGAGAAGCAGATACAGAACATCAGTGAATCCATCCTACATCGTCATCAATACTGCCCTGAAATCATGACTGATCAACCTCATGCTGTGAATAAGCTCTATTCAGGAGACTGCATCTATCTCACCTCTTTCTGACTACAGGTTTTAGGCCAGAATTTCAGCAGACCTCTGATAACCTGTTAGAAGAGGAAAAAACATGACACTGATTAAATAAATGGACAAAAAAAAAAAAGAAGAGCGATGATTAGTGAAAGGCTGCACTCACTGGTTCTGTTAATGCAGGGTCTTTTTCTAGGAACTGTACAATACAATACGCCAGCTGCAAAAACAACAGTAATGTCACTGACAGGATAAACAGGAAGTGAACACATAATACTCATCTGAATGTTTTAACACAGGCAGTACCTGTGCATGGAAAAGTGAGAGGCTTCTGACGGTGTGAAGAGGAATCAAAACTTTTACCAGAAACTGTTTGTGCTCGGCCTTCAGCGGCAGAGCGAAGCCATTGATGATGCTGACAGGAGACAAACACAACTTTCACTAACAGCATTCTGGGATTGCTCAACCCTGAATTTATCGCCACATTCAGAACAATGCAAAACTTAGTTTCATTAAATCATCAGGGATTTCTTGCTAATTTAATCATATTTCACGGAAATTGTGCAATAACTTCCAGTTCTGAAGTTTTATAAGCACGACAAAAGCTGCAGTGGATGTCAAGATGTGTAATACTGTACAAATATGGACACTGTTTTTGATGGTGCTTTACAGCCCCTGGAAACTATGTTTTTTCTGTATGGAAACAAATGCGCTTGTCATATAATACCATGAAGGTGAATAAAAACTATTTTTATTTTCGGAAGAACCTTCCCTTTAAGAATGTTTAGATGATCAAGAATAACTCACATTTTATGTAAAAGAAAATCCCAACTGTTAGTTAATTGCAATTATATAATTATGTTAAGTGACTGAAATTATGTAAATAGCAAACTTAGGGTGTGTGAATGGCATGACTATTTGTCAAGCGCAAACCCTGCCCTGCCATTACTAAAGATTTCATTGGTCATGTCAATGACAGTGCTAATTGCCCATACAACTCTAACACCGTGTCTACACTGGCCACGAGCGGCGCGGTGCGACAAAATACAATAGAACCTATTATAATTAGTGATGCTGTCTACACTGGATGCGGCGCGACAAATCCCCGACAGTAAACTGCTGCCTCATTCTATTTATGATGTACTGACACAAAGTTCAAATGATTTGCAATGGTCGCTTTGTCGCATCCAGTGTAGACAGCCTCTAGCTGTTGCGGCGCAGCATGACAACTGTCGCGTACGGAAAAAAATTAAAATCAAACACCAAACCTTGATTTGTGGAACATACTGATAGACAGAGATGGGTAGATTACTTACAAATTGTAGCCCATTACTGATTCCAAATTAAAGGACAAAAAATTTAGTTAGTAACATAATCCATTACACATTTTAGGTAATATAATCAGATTACTTTTAGATTACTTTTCACCGAACTCGTTTATCAAATTGATTTAAATAGGAAATCTTGTACCAAATTGATATAAAAATGCAAAGAAAAAGACAATGTATTCCATTGTTACTGACAACATGAAGGGCATTAAACATTACATTACGTCAAGGTTTCCTAAACTGGGGTTTGTGAAGGAACTGCAGGGGGTTTGTGGGTTTAATGAAAAGCAAATAATTAATTAAATCATAAAAAAATTATATTAAAATAAATAATTTTAAAATAACATCAATCAAAATAAAACAATATTTTATTTGTTTACCTGCATGTCATGTGATCATTAACCAATGTCAGAGAACCATGAACATGCAAATGTGATTATTAACTTATGACCTTAAAATCTCAGGGGTACTTCAAGTAAATATGTGACCTTGGACCACAAAACCAGTCATAAGGGTCAATTTCTCGAAATTGAGATTTATACATCATCTGAAAGCTGAATAAATACGCTTTCAAAAAATCAAAATATTGAGAAAATCGTCTTTAAAAGTTGTCCAAATGAAGTTCTTAGCAATGCATATTACTAATAAAAAATTAAGTTTTTAAATATTTACGGTAGGAAATTTACAAAATATCTTCATGGAACATGATCTTTACTTAATATCCTAATGATTTTTGGCATAAAAGAAAAATCGATAATTTTGACCCATACTATTTTTTTTGGCTATTGCTAAAAATATACCCAAGCGACTTAAGACTGGTTTTGTGGTCCAGGGTCACATATATTAGGTGAAAGAGGTTTAGCTGACAAAAAAAAGCCTGTGAATCTCTGCATTTCATGTAAATAAGAAACGTGAATTTGTGCATTTTAATGTGTTTGAAAGACAAAAGCCTTCCAAAAACATGGTTAGATAACCAACTGAGTGATGCATTAAATAAAAATGAATGTGTTCATCAGTAGTTTATGCAATGTTTAAATGCTGAGAAAACACTTCTTAAAACTGAAATGATTTTATGTAAATCTAGTGGTCAAATGCTGTGTGGCCACTCAATTTTCTGTGTAATTATAGCCACCCAACTAGTGACTAGTCTTCGTGTGAATGACCACAAAACTGGAAGACTTTCTGAGCATATATAAGCGGTAGGCTATTTTAGAAAGGAAAATTTAAAAGATGAAACAGAAGAATGAGGGAGAGTCCAGAAATTATGAATAATTTATTGCTATTGTGTGAATAATATGTAACCATGTAATCAATAGAGTAACTGTAGTCTGATTCTGAGTATTTTAAATTGTAATTTTATCTAATTACAAGTACTTAATCTTTGGAATCTGATTACGTAATCCAGATTACATGTGATCAGTTACTATCCAGCTCTGCTGACAGGTATAGTTACTCTTTTTTGCATTCAGCTCCATACACAATGTTTTTTTGTTTTTTTTACCTCGTAACCAATGAAATCAGCTGCGAGGTGGGATTTGACATGTTTGGGGAAATATATACATATATATATACATATACATATATACAGTGGTGTGAAAAAGTGTTGGCCCCCTTCCTGATTTCTTATTTTTTTGCATGTTTGTCACACAATGAGGAAAAAAAATTAACTTAAATGATTTTAGCAAATGGCTGCAATATAACAAAGAGTGAAAAATTGAAGGGGGTCTGAATACTTTCCGTACCCACTGTATGTAAGCTTAGCAGTTAAGAAAATTACATTGTGACTTTCAACAAGTACAACTCACCTTCCCAAAATCTCCAACAATTCTGCGACTCCATTGAAGTGCTCGGTTTCATAAACAAAACTAAGAATGAGAAAGAGAGATGAATGCTTGCACTTCATTCGTGCATGTGCATTAATATTATGTAAACTGTCATATCCCCCACCGTAGAAAAATATTATTAATCTGTTTTCGTATAAAAGCTCTTAGTCCCAGGAATTTTCCGTAGATTCTGTGTAAAACTGTCTTCAGGTAATCTCTCTCCCGTGGGTCCTCGCTGTCAAACAACTCCAGCAGCTGATAGGACAACAGATGGACAGTACATAAAAATGAGGGGGAAAACGATGATGAGCAGACACTAATGAAAAAAGAAGGGACTGAAGAGATTTTTAAAAGAACACCCTCACCTGTAAGACAAATTTCTGGTCTATGTACTTTTTGGCAATGCTGGGTTGAAACTCCTGGCTCTCCAAAAAACGAATGAAGAACTCATACACCAGCTGAGAAGAGAAAAGAACGAGAGAGAGAGTTTGTGTTATTTGGTGGAGTTCTTTGAACTCAGCATGCATGCAAAAAAAAGGTCAAAGGTCAAAGGTCATGGTTAAGTTGAGGTCACAGTCACAGGACACTCTGCTACTGCCACCAGGGGTCATTGCCATTATAAAACAGGTTCACATGTCTGGGAATGTGGCTTTCATTATTGGATTTTTTTTTTCTTTTCTTTTTTTTTTTTAGATGAAGAAGACTAAAGCAGGGATTTATAACGAAACAAAAGAGCAAAGTTTTACCAGGAAGATTCTCGAGATATGCATCTCATTTCTAAAGGAGTCCTGGAAGCATACAGTGAGTATACACACACAGAGAGGGTCAGAGTGTGTGTACAAACCCTCAAAAATACACACACAGACAAACATGCTGAAACAAATAAAACAGACAGGAGCTCTACACAAGGAGAGAGGGACCAGAGTACAAAACAGTATTCTCAAGAACCAGCACCAATTACACACACACTCACCTGTAAATGTGGCCATGAAGCCTCTAGTGTGGGTTCATCCTCCTCTGGGTCAAACTCATTACTGTCACTGGGCGGAAGAGTTCGGAATATATTATAGGACACCTGAAGAAAAAAAAAAAAAAAAAGAGACGTAACCACCATAAAAATGACTGAATCAAATATTACAGACCACTCACTGACCGTCTGATCCATATTTCACACACACACAAAAAACAAGCTTTCTTAAAAGTCCACGCTCTAATCAGATTGACTTTATGCAACTTCTGGGAATCAGGGTGCACAAGTTTGTAATGTAGCAGTCAACCTGAGGTGTGTTTCCCAAAAGCATTGTTAGCTAACTATGGTGGTCAATTCTATTGGTAACGACGGAACTTAGAACATAGTTGCTTTTGGTATGCACCCCTGGTTGGAGTGTGTGTTTAAAAGCTGTTTTAGGTAAACATTATTTTAGATTTTATTTATTTATTTTTGCATGAAATGTATGTTCATTTAATTTAAGCACTTTTGCGTATTGGTAGGTGTGTGCGATATCACGATTATTGAGCGTGGTCGATAAAAATGTCTCCACGATCTGCTTTTGAAGAAATATCGTAGTATCGTGCAACAGCACACATTCTATCAGTTGCAGTTCTGGCATCTCCGTCTCAATATACTGTACAACGTGACATACATTCACATTAGGGATGCACCGATGAGCTCCTGTACTCATACTCGTTAAAATGCCCCAATACCAAACAGCATGTGTTAAGTGCCATATTCAGACAATGAAACACCGACAACAGAACAACAGACAGCAGAATGGAGTTATTAGAGATTAAGGATGTCTAAGAAGTATATGTATGCAATGAATATAATGTTAAACATTCAGTATTGACTGTATAGCTGGTGTGCGCGAGCTGATAAGCAAAGCACGCTGAGTGGATTGTGCAGGCGGCGGCGCAGATGCGCGAGCTTGTCGAGTGAATATACCTTTCTCACAGACATCACTGGAAAGTTTGTAGTTCGGTCGGATACGTCAAAAACAAGTAAGTAAAACAATGCACAAGTTACTTAACGGTAGGGAGGGAGGGAGGGAGAGAGAGAGAGAGCACTTCTGTTGTGTGATCTTTGATGTTCACTCAC